CCGGACCAAGGCTTTGGGACCCTTGCAGACCCCACTCCTGGAGCAGGTCTGTGTCCCTGGACGGTAGGAATTCAGTCCTGTCAGCTAAGTAGGGTAAATCTCACTGCCCCCAAGCCCTGGGGAGAGCCACGCAGTGGGATAGGCGTGGCCAGGGTAGTGTCCACAAGAGGGACAAGCTCTGCCCTTGAGTGGCCTTTGCCTAGGGCCTTCAGGGCAGCCAGCCGCCTGGCACCAGAAACAACGGCCCTTGCCCCCAGCCACAGCACACAGGCAGGCTTTGGCAGCTGGCACACTGCGGGGTACGTCTTGAAAAACTGTCCTATGCAGTGAGGTCCAGGGCTCTGGAGGAAGCTGATGCCCCGCCCTACACAGGCTTGAGTCTGGGCCTGCGGCAGCCTTGAGGCCCAGGTGGCACTCCTCCTCCATTCCCTCGGACGGAGGTGCTGGTTCTGGGCCTCCTCAGCCCCCAGATCTGCCTCCTGCCCCAGAAGCCAGCAGGTCTGTAGGGGAGGAAGACAGTGAGCCAGCCCTGGCCACACCCAGGCAGCGCCCAGCCCCGGCTATGTCCACACAGCGACCAGCTCTGGCATTGGCTGACTCTTAGTGGGCAGATGATTGTCACCAAGTGTGCACCTCTGGACACTCAGGGTCCAGCACTCACCTCCTGGAAGGGAGCCCTAGTTTCTGGACTTGTGGTGCATGCTTTGAAGATGTCACATGCTCCCAGGGGAGGAGGGGACCCTGCAGGCATCTGTTTCTAGTGTGGACTCCACTGCCCTGCTCCCTGATCCCGGGGTTCTGCTCTGCTCCGGGCTTGACTCATGGCAGGTGCTGTGGGCCTAGCCAGCCAGCTCCTTCCCTCTGCACACTGACCAAAACCAAGGGCTGTCTGGCTGCAGTGCTCCCTCTGGGCCTGAGGCCGCTGTACCTTGCTGGTGGTTTGGTTTTGGGGAAGTCGGTGACACAGGCGATGACACAACACCTGTTTGTGGAGGTGCTTCCTGCCTTGTTGCTCGCAGAGGAAGAGGGCGGCGTTACAGAGTCTAGCATTGCTGAGGCTTCCGCAGTGCAGTGGCAGCTCCCCTAGGAGCCAGGACCTAAGCTTGCCCCAGGCAGGTTTCCAAAAGGTCCAGTTGGCAGGGCACCCTGGTATGCGTCCCTCAAAGCCACATGTGCCCTGCACCAGCTGCACCCTGGCTCTCCCTGGGTAGTGACAGGCTGTATCCCACCACTGCTTGTTCTGCACTCTTGGGGACAACCGCAGAAATGGCCAGCCCTCCCTGGAGACTGGACTCTGAGGCTGGGTCACAATAGCTCGCCCAGCCCCGGGTGGTGCCGAGCTGCTGGGCTGGCTGGAAGCGCGGCCGCAGGGCAGCAGGAAGGGCAAGGGGAGCCGGGCTCCGGGCGGGGCGGCCTGGAGAGTCCCCATCTCTCCCACAGGTATTTCCAGAGGACAGAAGTGCAGTGGGATAGGCGTGGCCAGGGTAGCGTCCAGACTACCTCCACCACCAGCCTGCCCTTTGGCCCAGGAAGCCTGGGCAGAGCTGCCCCACGGCAGGCGCTGCTGCCCTGCCGGCTGAACCTGAAACGGGCCCACGGCCTGCAGCAAGACCCCCTGACCCCTGGCCTGGAACTGCCCCTCCCCTTGCGTCCCTGCACCATGGAGGCAGCCCTGGCACCTCACTTTGCTTAGTCCTCACAGGAGCCCAGGAGGTGGGCTCAGTTGTCAGTGACTTTGTACAGTTGGCAAAACTGAGGCCCAGAGGGCTTAAGCAGACTGGCCAGGGACTGTCAGGACCAGCCTCGGGGTCGGAGTGCTCACAGCCCAGCAGTCTGTCCTCCCCACAGGGCCTGTCAGGGGCCTGGGTCCCCCTCCCTCCAGTGCCCCTGAACAGAGACCCAAGGACACCGTGAGCTGCCCTAGAGAAGAATCCCACGCAGTGGGGCCAGTGGCGTGGCCTGAGCCTGTGTCCTCTATGCAGTCGCCCAGTGTCCATCCCCACTCAGCAGAGCACGTCCCACACGATTGTGCTGAAGGGAAACTGGGGTCCCTGGGAGGCGGAGACCCTATGAGTAACCTGTAGAAACCTCTTGCCCTTGCGACCTTGGCCCCACAGAGCCAGTGTCCTGGCCAAGCAGTTGGCTCCGGGCCCCTCCTGCTGCTCTGGGCCTGTCTAGAACTGTTCTGTGGGCCGGCCAAGGGCTGTCACAGTGGCCTGACAGAGGATCAGGATGTCAAGCCCCTAAGAAGGGCACCAGAAGGGTCTTAGGCCTCAAAAGAACAGTCCCACGACAAAAATCACCTCCCCTGGCAGAAGATCCCAGAGGGCCCTGCTTGGGCCTGGTTTCCAGACGCGAAGCCCCTTTCCACACTGTCCATTGGCCCAGTCTCGGGGATTTCCTGGGTAAGGAAATGACCAGACCGGCCCATTTGGGGAAAGCCGAGTGGCCCGAGGGAAGCCAAGGTCCTCCCTGCCTCCCCTCCTGTCTGGCCTGGTGTGAGAAGTTCCCTCCTTCCTGCAGGCTGGCAGGGAGGGGGCTGTGGGGTTGGAGGATGGGCCTGGGTTCCAGTCCCAGCTCTGCTTACCAGCTGGGCCACCTTGTGACCCCTCCCCCTTCCTTCTCCCATCTGTGAAGTGCAGCACTAAAGGTCCTGGAGAGAAGCTGTGTTCAAAGTGCAAAACACTGGGGCTGGGGATGTGGCTCAGGCGGTAGCGCGCTCGCCTGGCATGCGTGCGGCCCGGGTTCGAGCCTCAGCACCACATACCAACAAAGATGTTGTGTCCGCCGAGAACTGAAAAATAAACGTTGAAAAATTCTCTCTCTCTCTTTCTCTCGCTCACTCTCTCACTCTCTCTTTAAAAAAAAAAAAAAAAAAAAAGTGCAAAACACTGCACCTGACCCGGAGTCCTTCCTGCTGGGGACCTAGGGACTTGGGGAACTTCATTGCCCAGGTGACAGCTCCCTGGATGTCTGTAGCAGTCATAATTCTTAGTGCTTAGCTAAACTGCAGTTTTCTACATATTTCACATTTTTTTAAATGACTTTATGTGGTGCAGAGGACGGAGCCCAGGGCCTCACACGCTAGGTAATCGCCCTGCCACTGAGCCGCGCCCCAGCCCTATTTCGCAATTTTTTAAAGTTTTTAAAAATTTTATCTCCTCCCCCACAAAAAATTCTGTATTCATCATCTCCTTCCCTATTTGTTCATCCCTCTTTGTGGGGCAGGGAAGGGGTTCACCCACTGTACTGGGGCCCGAGCCAGGGCCCAGCATGTCCTCAGCACATACTGTACCACTGGACTACACCCCCGGCCTTCAGTTCCTTAAAAAAATAATAATAATCTGGTCACCAAAGTGCTCCATCCATGCGTTCACATGAATCCCATGTCACCCTGACACAAAGGCCGAGGGCCTGCTCACAGAGGTCACTACAAGGTCAAACGTTCTTGGCACTACCTGGCCGTTGTGCCAGGGGTCACATAGGCACAAGGCCAGGTCTCTGGAGGCTGCAGGAGGGTGGCAACTGAGCCAGGCCTGGTGTCCCCAGGACCCAAAGGCCTGGCCGGGCAGTTACTCAAGAGTAGGAAGCCTGGGGTGGGGAAGGAAGTGCTGAGGCCAGAGGCCACTTGCAGCAGTCCTGTGCCTAGGTCCTTCCAGGCCACGGCACCTGCGACGGGACCAGAGGGGACGCGGAGCTGAGGTGGCAGGAGGAAAGCCACCAGCCTAGGGTCTGCTCAGTCTCCCATTTGTTTTCAACCTTTTTTTGGGGGGGTGGGGTGGGGCAGTAACCAGGGATTGAACCCAGGGGCACTGACCACAGAGCCACGTCCCCAGCCCTATTTTGCATTTTATTCAGAGACAGGTTTCACCGAGCAGCTTAGGGCCTTGCTATTGCTGAGGCTGGCCTTGAACTCACATCCTCCTCCCTTGGCCTCCCCAGCCTCTGGGACTGCAGGCGTGGGCCATGGAACCTGGTTGTTTTCAACCTCTTACTCAAAGTTCAGACAATGAGTTCACTCAGGGAACCAGGATCCCTCTCAAGGAAGGGCGCATTGTCCAGCCCCTGCCGCGGTCCCCGCCCCAGAGCCAGAGGTCACCTGGCTCCCAGCACCTCAGGCTGGCCTAGGTGGTTTCCAGGCCAGGCCTTGAGTGCTGCAGGGGGTGCTGTTGCCTCCCGACCCCTGCGTGCTCCAGGAAGCCGCTCTTCCATGTGGTGGGACCTGCCTACCCAGGTGCCAGGATCCCCAGCACACCCCGAGAAGGGACACAGGAAACCGCTCACAAGGACAGATTCCCTGATCAGAACTTGGGCTTCGCTCAGAGCTGTGCCATACATGTCCTGGCTGTGATGGTCCTGTATGCTCCTCAGGGGGCGTGTCTCACGCGTGCACATGCACTCCAAGGAGAGGCTCAGTCACTCAGCAGCAGGGAGTCATAGCCTGGATACTGCGGGGCCCTCTGGGCGTAGGGGTGGGACCAGAGCCCTTGACAGAGGGGCCAGGGCCTGCCCTCCAGGACGCACGCTCTGGCCAGCAGAGAAGTTAAGTTGGTGACACATCAGGATGGGCACTGGGGACAACAGTAGAGCAGGAAGGTGAGGAGCGAAGCGTCCTGTTCTGCGTGACGTTATCAAGGAAGGCCTCTCGGTGGAGGTGACATTGGCCGACGTGCAGGAAATGAGGATGGGGTCACAGACGTGAGAAGATGAAACCAGGTTGTCACAGTGCCAGGGCCCTGAGGTGGGAGCAGTGGGTGTCCCCAGGAGACAGGCCCTGGGCTGGGCCACGTGGCTGCCGGGCCACCTGTGGGCCTCCTTGGGAGGTCGGGGAGGTCAAGCCATCCTGCTGCGAGTCCCTGGCCCATGCCCTGTGGCTGCCCATCTCTGTCCCCGTCCCCTTCCCCGGGGTTGGAGCTCCAAAAAATTTCCTAGAAACTGAGAGAAGCAGCGAAGCGCTTCCTGCGCCCTCCCCGTCCCCGCCCAGTGGGGACAGTCGCCACCAACTTCCTCTTTCCAGCACATTTAAGGCCCAGCCTGGGCGGCTCCTGGGGAGGCCAAGCCCGCGCCGCTGCCAGCCATGGGGGACACCTTCATCCGCCATGTCGCCCTCCTGGGCTTCGAGAAGCGCTTCGCCCCCAGCCAGCACTACGTGAGTACCCAGCAGCACTGCGTGTGGCCACTTGGTGGGCATGCCTTGGGGGACAGTGATGTCACCTCGCCACACAGGGGCCACCTGGACCGGCGAGGATGGGGTCTCGGGGTCTTGGGCTGGTGGCCATGGTCGGCCAGGTCGCGGTGGACGTGGGCTGTCCTGGCTGCAGTCACTCCCGCCCGCCATTGCTCCGCGGCCTGGCACCCAGTGGTCCCCGGCCAGGCTGTCCCAGCTGCTCCTGGTGTCAGTTACATACAGTCTAACTCCTCAGGGCCACACCAACAGGGGGAGCAAAAATGTCCCCATCCTGCCCAGACATGCCACCCTGTCACTGGATCCCCAAGCCCAGAGGAGTCAGGGAGGTCCCCTGCTTAGTAGATTGTGACACTTGTGTCAGTTTAGCACAGGGGCCAAGACCACGACTCTTCCTCCGGCACCCTCCTCCCCCCCAGCCTCTGAGTCAGATTTTCTGAGTTATCTCCGGGTGGCCTGGAGGCTCCGTATTCCGTTGCCATGAGCTCTAGGTGCCCCATGTTACATGACTACCGTGGCGGCCAGCCAAAGTCAAGGAATCGGTGTTGACAGGCCCCAGGCCCCAGGCCCCAGACTGCGCGCAGGTGTCCTCGGTGTTACAGTGTCTTCAGGCTCAGCACGCCGTCTGACACCAATCAGCCATCACCGTCTTCTTTAATCTGGATCATTCTTTTGGGGGGTGGGGGTGGGGACCAAACCCCGTGCATCGAGGTGGGCACTCGGCCAGCGGAGCAGATCCCCCCGAGCCTTCTTCACGGGTCTTTGTCCTTCTCAACTTTGGCACTTTGGAGAGGGCAGGCCAGGTGCTCTGTGGAATGTCCGTCTGGGTTCATCAAATGCCTCCATGAGATTTGGCCTGGGCAGGGACGTCTTGGAGGCCACTCCAGGCTCCTGCGACCTGGCAGGTGCCTGCAGTTTCAGCTGGTCCCACTTTTGCAGAAGGGACTTTTGGCTCCAGCTCTGGGCTGTCTTCCAAGGTTATCTGTGGTCGAGCTTCTGTTTTCCCCTTTGTCACTGGTAGCCAACCTCTGGAGAGAGTGTCGGAAATGACGAGACTGTCCTGTTCCCGAGGACCCTTGCCCAAACAACTGGAGCCCTCCTGAGAGTGATTTTATAAACCCCCATTCTGTCTGCACTTGACTGTCAAGATCTCCCTCCTCCCTCATTTGTTTGCTCATTTATGTCCACGTGGGCACCTGGTTTCCTGGTTCACCCAGTGGGTTACAACTACTTTCATTACGCAAGTCTCCTTTAGTCCTTTGGGACGGGTTCCAGGACCCTCAGGGGACACCTGAAATTTGGGGACAGTACAGAACCTGACGTGTCCTATATGTACATACCTATGATACAAGGTTTGACATATAAATTAGGCTCAGTGAGAGATTAACATAATAATTAATAATAAGATAAAACAATTAGCCAGGCCGAGTGGTGCAAGCCTGTAGTCCCAGCAACTCCAGAGGCTGAGACAGGAAGATCACAAGTTTGAGGCCAGCCTCGGCATATATAATTTTTGCTTTTTTTTGGTACTGGGGATTGAACCTAGGGCTGCCTAATCGCTGAGCCACATCCCCAGCCCCCTTTTTTATATTTTATTTAGAGACAGGTCTTGCTAAGTTTCTTAGGTCCTCACTAAATGAAAGTTGCCATTTCAATCATCTTTAAGGGCACAGCTCCCAGAGTTGAGCGCACTCTCTTGTTCCCTCTCCCCCGGGGCCACCACCCGTCTGCAGAGGCTTTCGTTATCTCAGGTTGAACCTCCACACAGTAAAGAGCACCTCCTGGTGTCCCGCTCTGGCCCCACAGCCACCACCTACGCCTTGCTGCCTGCCTTTGGCCACCGTGAGGAACCTGGCGTGAGTGGAAGTGTTCGGTCCTACCTCCAGCGCCTGGCTGCCTCCTTCACATGCCGGCCCCCAGGTCCATCTGCTTTGTGACATGGGTCAGAATTTCCTTTTTTTTCATGGTCGAATAACTTTCCATTATGTGCCTGGACCACATTTTGTTTACCCCCATACATATTTTAGACATTTGGGTCCCTTCTATCTCCCTGCTGTTGACATATGAAAGTTCATGTGCAAACACCCATTGAAGCTGGGTTCAGGGTCGTACTGCCGTGCACCTGTGGTCCCAGCTGCTTGGAGACTGAGGCAGGAGGATTGCTTTTTGGAGTCCAGGAGTTCAAGACCAAGCCCGGAGCCTGGGCGACACAGCCAGACCCAGCTCAAAAATCAATAGCAACAGGGGCTGGGGCTCAGGGGTTGAACACCCCAGGTTCAATCCCTGGTATCAAAAAAAAAAAAATTACACACACACACACACACACACACACGTGAATACTTTCCTGTACTGGCTTTATCATCCTGTGTCTTACACTGTTTTTCTTTTTGGTGCCCGGGGATGGAGCCCAGGGCCTCCTGAGGGCTGAACCAGGGCTCCACACCTGAGTGACACCCCATTCCTGTCCATTTTATTTTTGGTGCATTTCAAAGTACATCGCAAACACCGTCGGCTTTGTCCTGGATCCCTCAGCAGGTCACTAACCACAGCTCAGTATTGTAGTTTTTTCTATTTTTTTTTAAATTTTTATTGTTGGTTGTTCAAAACATTACATAGTTCTTGATATATCATATTTCACACTTTGATTCAAGTGGGTTATGAACTCCCATTTTTACCCCGTATACAGATTGCAGAATCAGTTTTTTCTATTTTGATCCCACATTTACATCAAGTGAAATCCACCAATCTCCAAGGTGCCTCTGCTGGGTTTGGAGGGGGCTGGTCTCTGTGTGACCCAAACTGCATCCGGGTCCAGAAGGTGCTTCCCTCCCCATCTCTTCCCACCCCAGTGGCCGTCCCTGTCCTTACTTCCTGCCCTTCCCGGCAGCCCTGCTGATGCAGGACGTCCTGGATGTGGGATCAGACAGCCAGCGGTGGCCTTTCGTGCCTGGCACAGTGACTTGCAGACCCCGCCACGCTGTGACACGCATCATTGATTTGCTCCTTGGCACGCTGAAGAATGTCCTCCTAACGTTTTGCCGAGTTGTGTTTTTATACTGAATTGTTTTGTGAATGGTTTTATGGAGCTGTAACTCACAGGCCACCCAATCCAACGGTTTCAAGTGTGTTCGCAGTTGTGCAATCGTTGCCCAAGTCAACTTGAAATCTCTCCGCCACACCTCCCTCCAGAAAAGACTGCACCTGTTGGCAGCCACTCCCCACAGCCCAGCCCCAGCGACCATACACGCCTCTCCTGTCTGTCTCTCTGGATCTGTCTGGTCTGGACATTTCGTAGGAATGCAGTTGTATGTCATCTTACTGAGTTCTTCCATGGCTGGGGCACGCCCCTTTTCGTTCCCAACTTCGTGTGACACCCACACCAGCTTTAGGGGTGAGGGCCTACTTTTCTCTCTAATTTATACGATGAGGAATCTGAATTAATGTCAGAGACACTCTATCTGTTCATTTGTCATTACTATAACAAAATGCCTGAGCCTGGGTAGTTAGGAAGAAGAGGGATTAGCTGAGCTCTCAGGTGAGGAGGCTGAAAGTCCAAACATCTTGGCGTAGGCTCTGGGGAGGGTGTCATGGCAGATGGCACCACAGTGGTTGCAGCACAAGAGAGAGGAGAGAGGTCTTATGGCAGGACAAGAAGCCGGAGAGCTACCTCAGTCTTACAAGAACTAATCAAAAGGTCCCACAAGAACCATCTTCACCCTTCCCCAGGGCAGCACCCCAGTGCCTACTCCCTCCTACGAGCCTCCACCTCTTAAGGGTCCCACCAGCTCCTGACACCCCACACTGGGGACTAAGTTCCCAACGAATGAGCCCTCGGGGACAGGCCACATCCAAACCCCAATGGGAGCTCCCGTCTTGCCTCACGGGTCAGTAGCTTCTCGTCACTGTGACCAAGAGGAGGAAAGGTTTATTTGGGGCTCCTGGTTTCGGAGGTTCGGTCCCCGATTGGCAGACTCCATGACCCTCGTCCTGGGGTGAGGCAGCCCATCGTGGCAGAAAGACGCGGCAGAGCCAAGCCGCTGCGCTCCTGGCGCTGGGAAGCAGGGCAGAAACCAAAGAGAGCCAGGGACAGGACATGGTCCCCAGGGGCGTGGCCCAGGGACCCGCTCCCAGCCGTTCCCGACAGCCTGCAGTTCCCTCCAACAGGGGACTCCATCCAGCTGTCGGGTCAGTCCACCGAGGACATCAGGGCCCTTGTGATCCAATTGCTCCACCCCAGGACAGTGCTGCATGGGGACCAAGCTTTCTGCCTGGGATTTGGGGGAATATTCCGGAACATTCCCGGTCCCAGCGCTGGAGAGTGACACTCCTCTGTCCACGAGGCTGTGCTTCTGTGGCCCAGGCCCCCCACTCCAGGGCGCCCACACCCCAACCTTTAGCTTCCTCAGCGGCTCACGGCAGCCCCATCCGGGAGGCTGAGTGAGGTGACTGTCCCCATCGTCCCTGCAGGTGTACATGTTCCTGGTGAAGTGGCAGGACCTGTCCGAGAAGGTGGTGTACCGGCGCTTCACCGAGATCTATGAGTTTCACGTGAGTGTGGGGTGGGCAGGGGACACCGACCCGCCCGCCGTCCTGGGGAACCTCGGAACCCAGGTCCCCGGCCCACAGTTTGGGGTGCCGTATTTAACTTTCAAGAAGTGTTAGCCACCATGTGTCCCCACTGCTGGGAGCACTCACAGCACGGGCAGGGTGGGTGGGAGAGGGAAGAAGGAGGGGTGGAGGCCGCACGGCCAGGTGCTCTGACTAGGGCCAACACAGCCGGGGGGGAGGGAAAGGATTCCCTGGTGACCTGGGTGAGGGAGGGCGAGGAGGAGGGATCCAGGCCTGGACGTCCCTGGCCCGAGGGGTCCAAGGGGGCCAGGTCCTCGGCATCTTCCCTTCTTCTTCTAGAAATTGTTAAAAGAAATGTTCCCCATTGAGGCCGGAGAGATCAACCCCGAGAGCAGGATCATCCCCCACCTCCCAGGTGAGGGTGCTGGCCACCTCCCAGCCCCTGCCCCCCTCCACGGCCCCTGCCTGCACTCCCCTTGGACTTGACCTTGTGGGTGTGCTCACCCCTTTGGTCTCTCGCCCCTCCGGCCAGCTCCCAGGTGGTTTGACGGCCAGCGGGCGGCGGAGAGCCGCCAGGGCACGCTCACCGAGTACTGCAACGCACTCATGGGGCTGCCCGCCAAGATCTCCCGCTGCCCACACCTCCTGGACTTCTTCAAGGTGCGCCCGGATGACCTCAAGCTCCCCTCGGACAGCCAGTAAGTGGCCGTCTCCGCCCACCAGGCAGGAGCGGGAAGGAGGGAGTGGGCCTGGAGGGCAGTGGGACCTGCCTCGTTTTACAGACAAGAAGCCCCAAGCTCAGAGAGGGCAAATGACTTGTCTCAGTCACACAGCTGGAAAGGAGGAGGCAGGTGCCAACCCAGGTGGTGTCATCTGGCCTGGGACTCCTCTGAGCCCCTGGTGCTGAGGGAAGCCCAAAGTTCTGGGTCTCGTCCTGACCCTGCAGCCTTCTGCCTGTGGACCAGGAGTGGCCCCTCCGCCCTCTGAATGCATCCGTGATGGGGGGTGAGGACGGAGGGATGGGTGTCATGCCAGGTGCAGTGACAGCATATCTCCAGTGTCCTTCAGGGACACGGGGTGGGCCTCTGCTGGCTGCTGAGAGGGTCTTGGGCTCCTGTACCCAGGCCCTGCATGGAGCCACCTGGGAGGCTGAGTGAGTTCCAAGCAGCTGGGGCGAGGGGCCTCTACCAGTCTCTCTCTGATCACCAAACTCAGGGACGGGCCTGGAGGACAGGTCTGTCCCTAAAGGGAGGCAGAGCCTGATGGCACCGCCCCAGACTGTACTTGTTGACCTTGAACTTGCGGCTTGGTCCAAGGGAGGACAGCTCCATGGTGGGAGGAGGTGGTAGGAACAAGGAGGCTCTTGAGGCCCCAGGGGAAGGGCACTTGCAGCCACCAGTGTGTGGGGTCACCCAGCCGGGAGAGGAGGGCCTCTGCCTCCCTGGGGCTGCGGGGGGCTGCCAGCCCTCTGCGCGCCCCTCCCTTGGGCTGGCCCAGCAGAAGCCCTGGTGGTTCCCCAAGGCCTCCCTCCCGGATCTAGCCTCTATTGTTCCCTGCATTGACAATTCCCCTCATTTCTTAGCTCCTGGGAAGTCCTCCTGCAGGTCTGCCCAGAGCCTTCCCTTCCCCAGTGGGAGGCCCAGGGTCTGACCCAGGCTGTTCTCTGCTTAGGGTGAAGAAGCCAGAGACATACCTGATGCCCAAAGATGGCAAGAGTAACGCGGCAGGTGAGAAGGCGGGGTTGGGAGCAGGGGTACCTGGGTACTGCCCAGGTGGTCAGGGACCCAGAGCTTGGGGCCGGCAGGGCAGACAGCAGCTGGGGAGAGCGGGCTGTGCGGGCTCGTGTTGTCTCACGGAAGAGTTGGGTCTCTGGGGGACACTGTGCAGGTGGTGGTGTGTCTCCACCCCGTGGCTGCAGAGCCCCGCACAGCCCCTGCTCCCAGCAGCCTGGGGGACACGTGTGACTGAGTGAATGAACAGGTGTTGGGAGCCAAAGTGGCCTTCAGGGGTGACACAAGGGTGTGTGACTGTTTCTAGTCTGGATTGTCGAGTGGGGGTGGGGGAGGGGTGGCGGTGATGGCATTGCCTACAGTCCCAGCACGGGAGGTGGCCAAGGCAGGGGGCACATGTGAGCTCGGGTGTTCAAGGACAGCCTGGGCAATGTGATGAGATCCCGTCTTGAAAGAAAGAAAAAGAGAAAAGAATGCCAGCTAGGTCACCACCTCTGTAGGGACAGGAGGTGGGAACGGCTGTGCCATTGAGTCTGACGTGACTTCAGACTCCTGCCCGGGCCACCCATCTGTGCAGTGGGATTTGGGCTCCCGAGCGTGGCCCTGGCAGCTCAGCTGCAGAGCATCCTCAGCCGAGCGAGGCCTTCATGAGGCCCGGAGACCAGTGGTGCCTGTTGGCTGTGACACGAGGCACTGCGGCTGGAGGGACATGCACAGCAGGAGTGGACTTTCTCCCGGTTCCGAGGCTGGAGGCCCAGGGTCAAGGGGCTGGCAGGCTGGTCTCCTGGGGGCTCAGTGTAGCTTGCTGGGCCCCCTCGGGTCTTCCCTGGGCTCCCTACACATCCGGCCATCTTTCCTTGCAAGGACGCGGGTGGACTGCGGCAGGTCCACCCTGTGGCCTCATTTTAGTTTGGCCCCATGTCCACACGTCACATTCTGAGGCCCAGGGTTAGAATTTGGGGGAGGACTGGGCTCATAGCAAGCAGCAGCAGGGGCAGCGTCTGGGGCTGGCTGATGTGGGGACTGAAGTCCCTGCAGAGGCACCTGACCTGCAAGGTCCCGGGGACCCCAGCGGATCCTGGTTCATGCTGGAGAAGGCCACTGGGGGCCACCTCAGCAGCTGAGAAGGGCCCCGGGGGATGGACCAGTGTCGGGAAGGCGGGTCCCTGGGTGACGCAGGGCTGCCGGGCTCTCTGCCCACCTCCACCCACCCGGTAGCCTGGCATTGAGGGGTGGGGGGCGGACCGTGCGGCGCTGGTGACCTGCGCGGAGGACACCTTCCCTGCTCCTCACTCTGCCCTCCCCTGCCCCAGATATCACGGGCCCCATCATCCTGCAGACGTACCGGGCCATCGCCGACCACGGGAAGAACTCGGCCTCGGAGATGGCCGTGGCCACCGGGGACATCGTGGAGGTCGTGGAGAAGAGCGAGAGCGGTCAGCTCCCCACCCTGCTGCAGGCCTCAGGCCCCGCAGCCACCACCCCACCAAGGCCAGGCAGCCTGGCGCCCCCGGGCCTGGCCCACAGGCAGGGGCCATGTCCACGCGTGTGTTCCACGGGGGGCCACAGGGGCCATATACGGGGGACACAGCTCATTTGAAGGGGGCTTGGTGCTGTCACGCGGAGCCTGTGGGCATGGAGGTGACACTGTGGGATCTGTGCACTGGGTGTCTGTGGGTCTGTGTCCTCACCCTGATAGCTGAGGCAGGTTGTGTTCCCACCTCTACCTCCCCATGTCCCTGGCGCAGGCTGGTGGTTCTGCCAAATGAAGGCCAAGCGTGGCTGGGTGCCAGCGTCCTTCCTGGAGCCCCTGGACAGTCCTGATGAGGCAGAGGATCCAGAGCCCAACTATGCAGGTGACCCCGCCCTGCCAGGCCAAGGGACTGCCAGAGGAAGGGGTGGGAGGGCCTGGGATGTGCAGAGGCCAGTGTGACTGCTTTGGGTTTGGGCCCGATTGCCAGGTGGGCAGAGGCTGAGGCCCATCCTCTGGCTTGGGGCCTCGTGGATCATGGTGTCCTCAGTGGAGACAGGGGACCTGGGAGGAGGTCAGCCAGGGTCACAGTGTGGCCGCCTGGGGCTGCCCCAGCAGGAAGACCTGGGGCTTGGGGAGAAGAGCTGCCTGCAGGTGGTGCCACCACTGCCCAGAAGTGGAACCGGGCAGCCCAGGGCCGATAGGGCCGGCAGGGGGTTTGGAGGAGCCAGGATGTTTGGTCATGTTTTAAAGCCCAGGAAGCTCACCATCCGGTGGTGGGTGGGGGTGATTTATGGCTCCTCATTAAAAACTAGAAAAGGGCCGGGCACAGTGGCGCAGGTCTGTAATCCCAGCGACTCCGGAGGCTGAGGCAGGAGGATTGCGAGTTCAAAGCCAGCCTCAGCAACTCAGTGAGACCCTGTCTCTAAATACAATACAAAATACGGCTGGGGATGGGACTCCTGGGTTCAATCCTTGGTACCACCCCCCAAAAAAAACCCCAATGCCTAGCAAAGGCCTGCCGGCCACAGGTGCCAACCCTGGACCAGCGCTGTGCGGTTCTGAGTGCCAAGGGCATGGGTGCTCCCCTACCCACTTTTCACATCTGGGTGCCTGGCCAGGCCTTGGTAGCTATGAGACTCCTCATCTCTGGTGCGGGTGGTGGTGGGTGGGAGGCAGAGGGCTGAAAGCCAGAGTGGACTCCAGCAGTGGGTGGCAGGAGGCACCTGCAAAAGGAGACCAAGAAGGAGCAGGGTGTAGAAGTGAGGACAGGGATAGTGATCCTCATGCTGGGCAGACCCTCACATCATGTCCTGTGGCCCTGTCACCCACCAGGTGAGCCCTACGTCACCATCAAAGCCTATACTGCCGTAGAGGAGGACGAGATGTCTCTGTCCCAGGGGGAAACCATCGAGGTCATTCATAAGCTCCTGGACGGCTGGTGGGTGGTCAGGTAGGACAGCACCTCCCCACTGCAGTGCCTACCTGAATCAGCACTGGCCTGGGCATAACCTGCGTGGGCTCTGAGCTGGCTTGGCTGTGTGACTCTGGGTGAACCACTACCCCTCTCTGGGCTGTTTTCATCACAGTAGCAGGGGCCGGGGGATGAGCTCATCCTGCCTGTCCTGTGGGGTTTACTGTACTGGTCCAAAGGGGTACGAGTCCCTTTGTGACTTAGGGTCTCTTCCTGGCCGATCCACCAGTTTTTCTTCCTCTAGCAGCACAGCTGTTTGTGTCACGTGTGACAAAGGCACAGGTGACCAAGTCATTCCTCTTGCTTTGAAGACTTTCATTGGATTCCTATCCAGGCTTCTCCTAAGGAATGTCAATAGTATTTTTTTTGGTTCTGAGGAAAACAGACTCTCTGGAGCCAGGGGGCCTCCCAGAGCCTGTGTTTTCAGAGCCCTGGGCCACCTGGGTTCGAGGCTGTGGTCACAACAAACATCTGAGCCTGGCCCTGGGCTGGGGGCTCGTTTTGAGGCAGCATTTCTCCAGTTAACACCACCCCAAGAGTCTTCCTGTGAGTCTCTCCCCATCAAGAAGGTTAGGCTTCACCTGGGTCTTCTGTGCTGTGCAGAGTTTTGCTTTCACTCCCAAATCCAGTATTGGGGGTGGAGAGGAAGCCCTACCAGGAACCTGCAGGAACAGCTGGATAGTCCTATGGGGAGAAGCAGGAAAGCCGAGACCCCCGCCTCACAGGATCACGTTCATTTTGAACGGATCACAGGTTTTCACCCAGGGTAAAACCTAAAAGCTGTTTGGAAGAAGGCAGAGAAGAATGTGACTTTCATAGGACACAAAAGGCCATCACCACAAAATGAAACGCTGACCGTACAGTTCTGCAGATGTCCTATAGCGAGCGCCAGACCCTTGGGGGACCAGCACTCTCCACCTAACGTCCTTCCCCTTCCCCGTTGGAAGAAGAGCTGGGGGGGGGGACTGCGCGGCGCGGGTGGGGAAACGGGAGGGGGGGGCCTGGGTTGCCCGCAGCCTCCTAACCCGCCTTCCCGGAGCCCTCCACTTCTGCCAGGGCCTCAAGGGCTGCCTCTGTTGCAGGAAGGAGGATGTCACTGGCTACTTCCCGTCCATGTACCTGCAGAAGTCGGGACAGGACCCGGCCCAGGCCCAGCGCCAGATCAAGGGCCGAGGGGCGCCGCCCCGCAGGTGTGCGAGGATCGTGGGGCTGGGCGGGGCAGGCACGGGGAGGACCGCGGGGACGTGAGGGAGAGGCGACGTCGCTGATGTTCAGTGGCCTTAGGGGTGGTCGGTGAACACGGGGAAGCCCCGGAGGGCTTCCCGGGGAAGGGGAAGGCCAACAAGGTGCGTGGGAGGTGGCCTGGGCTCTGCAGCGGGTCAGGGCTAAGTGTTCATGACCCAGGCAGGTGCATGTCCCCGCCCGGGCCGTGCGGGACCTCCAGCCGCTTCCCGCTCCCTCCAGCCAGTCTTTGGACCCCGGGGCGGGGAGGTGCCCACTAGGTGTCCCTAGCGGCAGGGACGCGGGCGCGGCGGGGCCAGCGTTCTGACGACGCCCCCTCCTGCTGGGCCAGGTCGACCATCCGCAACGCGCACAGTATCCACCAGCGGTCGCGGAAGCGCCTCAGCCAGGACTCCTATCGCCGCAACAGCGTCCGTTTCCTGCAGCAGCGTCGCCGCCTGGCGCAGCCAGGGCCGAAGAGTGCAGGGAGCCCTCGGGGTGAGTGCCGGGCGGCGCGGGCCATGGGCGGGGCAATACGGGGCGGGGCTAGAGGGCGGAGCGAGCTCTACAGGACAGGCGGGACCACGGACTAGAGGCGTGGCCCGAGGGCGCGATAGGCGGGGCGACCCAGGGGGCGGAGCCAAATGGAGCGTGAGGGCGAGAAGGCGGGAGCGGAGGGCGGGCGGAGCCAAGGGCTGGGAGGCGGGGCGGGGCCTCTGACCCGCCTGTGGTCCTCCTGCAGGGGAGAATCCGCAGAGTCAGCGTGCGAAGCCGCAGCCCGCGGTGCCCCCGCGACCCAGCGCCGACCTCATCCTGCACCGCTGCAGCGAGAGCACCAAGAGGAAGCTGGCGTCCGCCGTCTGAGGCGGGGCAGCCATCCCTGTACCCTGTCTGTGTGTGTACATAGCTGGTGTCTGCCGGGGCAGCCCCGGCCCCCTCCCCACGTGGCTGTCCGCCATCTACATGAATGTTGCTTAGAGTGGACCGAGGCTCCGAAGAGATAGGCTCCGCCCCAAGGGTGTTTCTAGGATGAGGAGAGGGGACAGTGAGTTCTGCTGGGTAGAAGTTTCAAGAGCCAAGGGCCCATTGCCTTGGCCTTGGCCAAGAACAGGTCTGCAGAAGGCCAGATGCAAGAGGAACCCTGAGTCCCTCACTGATCTTTTGCCTGTACAGAAACCTCCCGCTCTGACTGTAGTCACAAGCAGAACAGTCCTGAAGGTGGGTGGATGCAGCCCCGCCTCGAGACAGAATAAGGGTTGCAGTCCAGGGTGAAGTGTGCCTATGCAGACCCGGGAAAAAAAAAAAAAGGTGATTTAGGAATGGAGGCTCCTCTGATGATTCCCTGAGACCGGCCCCAGTTAGGAGGGTGTAATGGAAAGCTAAATTCATTAATGAACACGGCCTCACCACTTCCCCAAGCACTGCTGCTGGCCCACGGCCTCCAGATCTCTCCTGGTGGGTCCTTCCCCAAATGCAAAGCCACAGTGGAGCCGAGTGAAGTTGCAAATCTTGCAGAAGATTCTCTTGTCCAGAGGCCATGGGGTGTGTGGAGAGCTGCTCCCCCTACATGGGCAGTGGCTACTTGAGGAGGGGCAAAGCTGGTCCCCTTGGAGATGAGCCTGCACGAAGGACAAATCTTTCTGGAATCATTTGACCATCAAAGGATTGACAGAGGCCTTGGGAAAGCCACCGGAGCCCCTACCTGGTTAGGAATTTTGCATATCTTATTTGCTGGAAAAGTCTGGCTTCAATCACTATCACACGCACTGTGGGAGATCCAACAGCAGCCCCAACCCCTGCTTGTTCAGTCGCTCTCTTATCTTTTTATTAAATATATCTTACTTATTTTCATCCTTTTTAAGTTTCATATTAGACCCCCTAAGTTGAAATCCTGATCAAACATTGACCTCATCTCTTTGGTACTTCTGGGCCCCTCCAAGTGACATGTCAGCAGTAGCATTCTGTGTGTGTGGGGTGGTCAGGGAGTCACCCGAAGGCCCACACCTGCAATCCTGTAAGGGCCCGCTCCAGTCCGGCCTGCACTGTCTGTCGGCCAACAATTTCCTCAAAGCTGAATGTAGTGCTGGCTCATTTCAGCATCTCTAGTTCTGAGAACAACCTGGCAGGTGGGTATTTTATAGATGAGGGAACTGAAGCTGGGAAATAAATGCAGGCGAGTCAGGCCTTGTGGTGGACACTGGGCTAGGGAAGCTGGGGGAGGTGGCCTGGCCCTCATGGCCCTCTGAAGACCGCTAGTCCTGGGGCCTGTGTTGGAGGTGTGACTAGCTCTTTTCTCTGCCCGTCCCCGGATGGGAGGGCAGGGCTTTGAAACAGCCAGCACAGGTCATCCTGGGAACTGACAGAGACTATCAAATCCAGGCCCCAGGTCCTAGGCTGGGCCCCCCTCTCCATCTCCCTGACCCTGTCACTCCAAAGCTCCCATTTGGAGACACCCATCACCATGGCTACTGAAAACCACTCTCCTTCGGTGGCTTCCTTGGTTTAGTCACATGGGTGAGAGACACTGCTGGTCAACAGCCACTGTATCCCAAACCAGGCTCATCCCAACTCACTCCAGGGTAAAGAGGGAATCTGGGGCTTGGGCAGCCCCTTGACTGGGTTAACACAAGACACTTAGGCTGAGCCTGCCATTCCCGCTCTGTCCTCTGATGGGCTCACCACCAGGGAGCCACACAGAAGATGAGGAGGAGCTCAGAGGCTGCAGGACAGACACTCGCTGGGTCTCCATGTCTGGCTCAGTGGCTGCGTGGAAATGAAGAACAGAGACTCCGGCCTCACTGGGACTTGAATCCTGATGACTCTCTCAGGGCTGTGTGACCTTGGCAAGCCATTCAACCACTCTCAGCCTCTTGCCCGTCCATAAAATGAGGGTTGGTTGATCTTTCCCTGCCTCAGCCCTCACCCCTGATCCAGTGTTAACATCTGCTCAGCTGCACAGGAGCTGGGCCTCCCACTGGCCCCCAGTAGAGACCAGTCCTTCCTGCATTCCTTCCCCAGGAAGTCAGCCTCTGGGCCTGCACACCCAGCCACACCCTGTGTCAGTTGTGGAAGAGGAAGAGCCGGGTGGGACTATTTTCCCCTGAGGACAGGCACTGAGTTCCATTGCGAGCAGGTGCAGTGTGGGGCGTGGTCTCTCCTTCCAGCTCCTGCCTTGTCTCTGTCAAAGCCCGATCTGCACAGCTTCCCCAGGCGGCCATCAGGCTGGGGGCTCCCCTTACTCAAGTGCCTTCCTCCGGATCTGGAGAGTTCTGATTTTGGGGTTGCTAATTCCAGTGATTAATAGAGACTCTGGACACAGATGCACGCCTACCTACCTAACTGACTTCGAAGATCAACGCCAGGAGGAAAATGCTGTAAAGGAAAGGTGGTCACCCGGTTAACAGATGGACCTGGAGGATCGTGGAGAGCTGGATAAAATGCTACCCCAATGTTCAACCTACTGACCTCAGTCTCCCAATTATGGTCATATAAGTGGACACTGTTATTTTTAGAAAATGTTCCCTGAAGTATTTAGGGATAAATGATGTATATAACCTTTTCTCAAAAGGCTTAGTTAAAAATGCGTGTTTGTGCAGGCACAGTCACTCCTCCTGCTGACAGGCACCGATTGTAGATGAGCGGGAGGGGGGGACCCCGCGCTGAGAGGCTCACTGTGGGCTGCCGCTAATGTGGGTGCAAGAGTGTTCTTCATGCTATTTTTATTTTTGAAACTTTTCCATAAATCTGAAATTATTCAAAATAAAGTTCTTTTTTTTTTCTTAAAAAAAAAAAAACAACCTCCAAAACTCAGCTTATTTTGCCTTGGCTATGGGTGTTACTGGTTTGGAGAGTTTCCATTTTAAGCCTGACCTTTCTTGCTTCACAGAGGCAGAACTTCACAGGAGGGCTCTACTCTGTAATTAGGTCACCAGCCGACCTCCTGACGCCTGGGAATGTGTCAGGCCACGTGGGACACCATGCAAACAGGCAGGATGACCAGTGGGTGTGCAAATAGCCTCAGCAGGTCACCCATTCCTCTACCTGTTGACTCTCTGAGGCTTGGAGATGCCGACCACAGTGCCTGGGGGGAGGGGCGGGTCAGGCCCATGGGTGAAGCAGGCCAGGCCGGTGGAGTCACTGAGCAGAAAAATACAGTAAAACTTGGTTGACTTTTACTCAACTACAGGGAAGCATAAAATGCCGTACAAACAGGTATGATGCTGCAAATTACACTTCCATTTCAAAGTGGAAAAGAAAAAAACCTGGAATAATCAAAATGCTTAATAGTTCACGTCCTCGTCTTCCAGTCCCGGGCCAGGGACATCCTAAGCTTCCTGCCGTGGGGCCTGGCCGGCAGCTGTCCCTTCGTCACGAAGCCACGTGGAGCCCGGGGTCCCACTGTGAGCCCTTCAGCTGGGAGCAGTGCTTGGTCTTGCTCAGCTTCATGATGGAGAAGAGCTGCTCGCAGACGTAGGTGCTGCCGAACATGGAGAGGACCCTGGCGCAGTGGCTGCGGTACCTGGGGTAGCTGCTCCAGAGGTGCCTGTAGAACTCGGGGACGCCCACCTCGTCGTACTTGGCCTTCAGCGCCGAGTTACACTGCAGGTCGATCACCTCCAGCTGCAGCTCTTCGCGCACGCTCTCAATCCCGGTGGAGAACGGGGCGCTGAAGAGCCTCAGCTCGCTCTCGTAGCGCTCGAAGTCGGACAGTCGTTTCTGGAATTCCGTCTTCAGCTCCGCGATCCTGGGGACGTAGTTGAGGCCGTCGCCTTGGTGTCTGGCCACCGACTTCAGCGTGGGGAAGTGGGCCAGGTTGTTCCTGGCTAGGTGCGTCTCCCAGAGGCACAGCTTGGCCAGGAAGGCGCGCAGCAGGTCGTACATCTGCGTGACGACTTGCGAATGGCCCTGGAGGGAGATGTTCAGGGTGTTCAGGTGCATGGTTACGTCCACCAGGAAGGCCAGGTCCCGGATCCAGTCTTTGGAGCTCAGCTGGGGCACCGGCTTCCCTCGGGAGGACATGAAGGAGTCGATTTCCTCCAGAGACTCAAAGAACCTCTTGAGCACCAGCCCGCGGCTGAGCCACTTAATGCCGGTGTGGTAGAGGAGGCTGCCGTACTGGCTGTCCAGCTCGTAGAGCAGCGTGGTGAACTCGCCGTGGTTCAGCCCCCGGGAGCAGACCCAGTTCACCGAGTCCACCACCACATCCATGACGTGGTCCATCTTTAGCTTCTGGGCACAGACGGACTCTGGGTGGATGATGCAGCGGACGGATTTCAGATCCGAGCCCTTGCACAGCGTGGCCACCTTGGATTTCAGTTTGGTGATGAGGCCGCTGTTGGCATCGACCATGGCGGGGGTGCCCGTGGAGGCCACGCTCACTAGTTTCGACCAGTCGATGTTGAACTTCTTGAGAGTCTTCTCCACGCGCGAGAAGACCTCATTGGCGGACTTGGTGCCCGTCATGGGCACCGTATCCAGGAGCTCCTCGGACACGTCGAAGCCGGCGTCCACGCCGCGGATGAAAATGGCCAGCTGGGTGGTGTTGTTGATGTCCGTGATCTCGTCGATGGCCAGGGAGTAGGCCACGAACGAGCGCAGCTTCTCACGCAGCTTCTCCCACAAGCTGCCGGCCACGTCCTCGGCGGGCTGCTCGGTCGCACTGTCGGGGCGCCCCGCGCTGGGCAGCGTCTGCTTCTGCTCTGGGGCGCCGGCCTCAGGGGAGCCCAGGAGGTACCTGCGCAGCCCCCTCTTGAGCTCGCGGAGCTTCTGGTCGCGCATGTGCTCCGTGTACTGGTCGTAGTGCTTGCTGTGGTTGGTCTGGTAGTGTCTCCGCAGGTTGTACTCCTTGGACACCGACATGCTCTGCTTGCAGATGAGGCACGTGGGGATGCTCTGCTCCTCCACGAAGAAGTAGGCGCGCTCCCACTTCTCCTGGAACACGCGGCCCTCCTGGTCGATCTTCCGCTTTCCCACTTCCCGGGAGGCGCGGGGGAAAAAGAAAACTAGGTCACCCTTTGACTTCGTGGTACCACTGGGATCAAAGCACGATGGTGAACCGAGGGACACAGGGGCTGGGGCGGGAATGGCCCCTGCAGAGGGGACGTGCACACTGCTGCCCAGTGGATACCGCCTGCTGTGGCGGGAGGGTCACGTCTCAAGAAAACGTGGGGATGGGTTTTTGTGAAACTTTGTGTGTGGCGTTAAGGATGAAATACGGCCTCGGGTTCCACCCGCGCTGCACTATGACCTATAACTTCCATTTTAAAAGGTAGATGGGGCTGGGGCAGGGGCAAGGGCAGGGGCAGAGGCTGGGGTGGGACTGGGGCTGGGCTGGGGGAGGGGTTGGGGCGGGGCAGGGGCAGGGGCAGGGGCTGGGGCTGGGTCAGGGGCTGGGTCAGGGTCAGGGGCAGGGGCAGGGGCTGGGGCTGGGGCTGGGGCTGGGGCTGGGGCTGGGCTGGGGGAGGGGTTGGGGCGGGGCAGGGGCAGGGGCAGGGGCTGGGGCTGGGGCTGGGTCAGGGGCTGGGTCAGGGTCAGGGGCAGGGGCAGGGGCTGGGGCTGGGGCTGGGCTGGCATGCGTGAGACACTGGGCTGGATCCTCAGCACCCGTAAAAATAAACAAATGAAATAAAGGCAGGCTGCCCATCAGTAAATACAAAACAAAACAAAACATAAAAAGGCATATGGGCCAAAAAAAGGGAGCTGGGGAGGAGCTGTGGTAGAGGGCAGGCTTAGCACGTGTGAGACCCTGGGTTCACTCCCCGGCACCACACACACACACACACAAAATCTTTGTTCAGAGCATAGCTGTGTTTGTTATATCTGCTTCAAACAGGATGAACTGGAGTGTTATGTCTACATTTTAACCTTTTTGTAGTGCTGGGGATTGAACCAGGGATGATTTACCATTGAGCTGCGTCCCCAGTTCTTTTTGAGACAGGATCCTGCTAAGTTGCTAAGGGATCTTGCTAAGTTGCTAAGGCTGACCTCAAATTTGCAATCCTCCTGCTCACCCTCCCAAATTGCTGGGATCACAGATGTGCCCCACGACAAGTGGCCCATTTATTATTATTATTATTATTTTTAATACAAGGTTTTGCTAAATTGCTAAGGCTGACCTTGATCTTGTGATCCTCCTGCTACAGCCTCCCAAGTAGCTGGGATTAGGGGCACGTGCCACTGTGCCTTCTTGTTTGCATTTCAACATATGCTTTCTCATTTGAACCCCAAGAGAACTTTGAAGTAAGGAGCAGTGAGTGCAGAAGGCCGTTTACCAGACCGCCCCAGACCTGCAGAGCTCATGCATGCACATCTGTTCCCTGTGTTGGTGTTTAGATCTAGGAGCCTGGCCCTGGGCAGGTCAGCAAGGTGCTTCCAGAGGGTACAAGGGAAGGGTTCACTGATGGAAGCCCAGCAAGTTACAGGACAGAAATCAAGTGTTGGTGGCTTTGGGCTGGGGACGGAGAGGGGAAATGACTGAAAGTGGGAGGGACGCATGTGCTGGGGGATGAGGGGGACGTTTTGATGTTGGGTGTGGTGACCTTCACACAACTCTGGAGATGCACCCAAAGTGGTGGAGCCTCGCCTCTGAATGCTCCTGTGGGAGAGCAGCAGCAGCTCAGCTGTCAACGTGAGGGATGAAGGAATTCCCTTAATACAAGTGGATTTTGGGGTGGTGCTGGGGTCTGAAGCCAGGGCCTTGCACAGCCTGGGAAGGTGCTTGACCACTGAGTCCACCTGATGGAGTGTAAATGGTTCCTCAGTAAAGCGAGGACATCTTTTGGCCACCAGATGAGTTTAAGGAATAGGAACATTTAAACACACGGCCTAGTTTTCAAATTTTAAATCAGGAGGCTCCCTAGTGACTGGAGAGCTTGGGAATATCACTATACCTCCTGCTTGATCACCCTATAGGACACTGACTTCCCTGCCAGGGCTGCAGGGGACATTAAAAATATTTAGCAAGTAGGGCTGGGGTCCCATGCGCCGGGATGCAAACACACAAAAAATTTAAGCACCAGCGTCTAGAAGCTTGTGCCAGGAAAAGTGAAGTATGGATCCAAGTCTCCAGCCTCCAAAAGCAAAGGCCCCACGTGAGTCTTTGCCACCAGGCCAGGGCACCCCAGGCACGACACGTCCCCTCACGCAGACACTCACCATTGCTGAGCTCGAGGCCTGGAAGCGGTCTGGAGAGAGAGAGAGAGAGAGAGAGAGAGAGAGAGAGAGAGAGAGTGAAGGCCATGGAGCTCGCAGTCCCCCATTAGAGTGCAGCCCGGGCAGAGGGCGGGAAGCTGAGGTGGGCAGCAGGCCAGGGCGGGGAGGCTGGTGCGTGCTCACACCTCAAAGAGCTGGTGGCAAGATGCCAGCCTGGCCTGGAATCCCGGCAGCCCCCGGGCCATCCTCGGGCAGAGCTCCCTGGGCTGCCCCTTGGGTCCCGCACAGTCCCTGCCACGCTGGGGACTCTGCTCACCTAATGACTGTGAATTTGATGAAGTCTGCAGCCTCCAAGATCCTTCTCATGGAGGTGATCTCCAGGTAGCCGGGGGCTTTGAACACCACACCCGGGGGCATGCCGTCGATCACCACGCAGCCCGGGTTGAAGGTGATTTTCCTGTAGGGAACTTTCACAGGGAAGTCCACGCCAATCGCTTCACCTGGGACGCGACCAGCAACATAAAAAGCTGAGCCTCACCTACTCTTCCCAAACCATATTTACTCTTTTTTTTTTTGGTGGGGGGTACTGGGGATTGAATGTGGGGGCACTCCAACACCAAGCTGCATCCCTAGTACTTAAAAAAAATATATATTATTTATTTATTTATTTATTTTTTAGATGAGGATGGACACAACACAATGCCTTTATTTTTATGTGCTGCTGAGAATCGAACCCGGGTCCCACCCATGCTAGGGGAGCGCTCTACCGCTGAGCCACAATCCCAGCCCCAGAACTTTTTATTTATTTTTTTAGACAAGGTCTAAATTGCTGAGGCCGGCCTCCAACTTGCAATCCTCCCGTCTCAGCCTCTTCTGTTGCTAGGATTACAGGCATATGCCAAGGTGCCCGGCACCATCCTTTATATTTCTTTATATCCTTTATATGTCAGGATTTAAAACATCCTCCTTGAATGAGATTCTTGGTGACTAGCTATTGCTACTTTATTCTCCAGCAGTACATGGAAAAGCTCTTTGGTTACAAATACACACTGACAGGCTGGGATATAGATCGATGCACAGTGTGCACAGGTCCCTGTTCCCAATCCCCAGCAAACAAAAAAAGACACTGTCAACAACGAAAGAGAATACTGATTCTGATCACAGCTTTTTCACAGATCAATTTCTTATAAGACATTCTTTTAAAAAGAAGCATTTCAAGCATATAAATAGTTGATATAAAAACTTACCAAATTTTCGGCTAAAGAGGTCATTGACTTGTTCTCGTAGCTGTTTAGTCTTTTCAATGCTTGATAATTTTTCTTTCTCGTTATCTAAAAATAATTAAGTAAATAAATAATCCAGGGTTATTAGTGTATTTTTCCCCCAAGAAAGCTGCTGAGAAAATGCCCATTAGCACTTCACCTGATTTATTGATCAGTTTACTTTCACCAGTAATCAGGCATTTTGGAAATTTGTAAATAAAGTCATTACAGACAATAGAGAATTTTCCAGACTATAATCCTGTATAGACACAATCCATACTACTTTTAGGGAATATTTTCAATATCACACAAGAATGTGAACTCTCACTACCACTCTTCAATAATTAGAAATCTTAATTAGTAGAAACTGTAGCCAAAGCAATACAACAAGAAAAAGGAATAAGAGATAGTAGGACCAGAAGTCACTATTTCTCAATGTTAACATTTTATTCTATTTGATTTTAAATAACTAAAACAATCACATGGTTTAAATTGTATGCTATTCTAAAATAACATATAGAAATCCCTACCTCAGCTCTCAGTTTCTTACCCTAGAGGAACTATCTTATTAGATTCTTTGCTATCTTTCCAGATACATATTTCAACACATTTAGAACAAAAGATTATTTAATGATGGGCAATAAATAAATTACACCTCTGTAGCCAATTCCAATTCAATGACAGCTGGTACTTGAAGTTCCTACCCTATCCTGGCAAAACTAGAGTCCCAGTAATCATGATAATAGGAGTGCACTTGGTGTGTGGTGACCTACACTATTAAAAATCAACAGCTCCAAAAGACCAACCTGTGTCATAAAACAGTAAATACAGAATGGAAGGTACACTACAAATTATGATAAAGTGAGATCAATGTCCTTACCTGGAATTGCCACCTGTACAATCTTAAGATCTTCAACACCAGCTGCAGAATTCATAATACTGAATGAATTTGTGTTTCCTTAAAAAAGAAATCATAGAAAATAATGCCATTTTGACTCTTTTTTAATATACTTTTTTAAAGTTGTATATGGATGGACACAATAGCCTTATTTTATTTATTTATTTGATGTGGTGTTGAAGATTGAACCCAGTGCCTCAAGGCAGGCAGGTGCCCCATCACTGAGCCACAACTCCAGCCCAACAAGGACTCCCTGAGCTGACCGCTCACCTGCCGTAGAGGCTAGTTTACAACTCGGTCTCCACAGACCATGAGTCACCAGCATGATCCTTGTCAGACAGAGGACAAGAGCCCACGTACAGATGGACTTCCCAGTGCTCCAACCCTCCACAGATGCATGCTCAATAGGGGCTAAGTTATTCAGCAAATAACTCAGCCATGGCTAATTCTTATTAAAAACAAACAAACAAAAAACTGCAAGCACCTCCTGTCTGTCTAGCATGTGCTGAGGCCTGTGCTCACTGTGCAGCTTTGATGTCCCCGAGGGCCACAGCCCAGCACACAGCCACCTTGGAGAATGTTTCCCATGGGCCTCCACTTAAGTTAGTGCTGGGAGCTGTGATGCAGCTCAGTGGTCAGCACTTGCTTAGCAAGCACAAGGCCCTGAGTTCTGCCCCCATTGAGTGTAAAGAAATGAAAAATAATGAATAAATACGTAAGTGTGGGACTTGGATCTTGACATTCAATTTTGTTCCTTACATTCTTTTTTTTTTTTTAAAATATTTATTTTTTAATTCTCGGCGGACTCATCTTTGTTTGTATGTGGTGCTGAGGCTCGAACCCGGGCCGCATGCATGCCAGGCGAGCTCGCTACCGCTTGAGCCACATCCCCAGCCCCTGTTCCTTACATTCTTAAAAGTACATTAAGGAAAACACCCACATGTCCACCAAAAGGTGTGGGGGCCAACTGTGATGTATCCATGCAATGGAATATTATTCAGCCTTAAAAAAGGAAAGAAGCTAAAAAAATAAAATAAAAAAGTGGGGGAGGGAAAAAGTTTGACACATGGTACCACGTGGATGAACCCTGAGGACAGACATTAGTGACAGCAGACAGACACGCCGCTTAGTCACATTTACATGGGAAATCTAGGGCAGTGAGGTTCAGAGTGAGGGAACCCAAGCTGGAGGCCATGAGGGGCTGGCCAGGGGAATGGGCAGCTGCTTCATGGCGTGTCTTGGGGTGATGGAGAGGTTCCCCTTCTTCCTTTTGAGGTGCTGGGGTGAAACCCAGGGCGTTGAGCATGGTGAGGGCAGTGGATCTCAAGGCACCCGTGGGTAGGAAGCTCGAGGGTCACGTGGACACCTTGCAGTGCCTGAGACTGGGCCCTGCTGATGCTCTGGGTCACCAGCTGACTGTCCTCCCTGCCCAGGGCTGGTGCCACTGTGTGTGGCCTGGCTGTGCTGCCCACAGTGCCCGGGGCCTCTGGGTGGGCTGCCTGGACACGCCCCGTCTCGGTGTCCTCCAGTCTTCCCCTCAAGCCCTTTGAGAAGAATGAAGACCACGCGTGGCCATGACGAGGCTTCTCACCTTCGACCTTCACGTGGCCTTTGGGGTCCTCGTTTGTGTCTGCACAAACCAGCTGGGCAGACTCTGGAAAGGAAAATGTCTAAAATGACCTTCACTATTTAGTGACCTCCGGGTGTCCCCATGGTCCCGCCTCCCTGAGCAACATGGGGCTGATCCCGGTGTCTAGAGTTTCTTCCATGCATCGTCCACATGGGGAAATGGAATTGTCCAGGGGACAGTGCAGGATCCCCTCCTAAGGGCTGGTCTTATAAAGGGACTGTCCCCCCAGTCCTCCTGAGCAGAAGACGGATAAAATCCTACCTGGCTAGACATTAGACACTAGCTCCCCAAACTCAGGCTCTTTTAGCAGGACTGGCCTAAAATTGTACTAATTCTTACTAAAGACAGAAAGGCTAGCACTCAACACAAGTGCCATGGACTTGGCACTGTACTATAGGTATGTAACACGTCACCTCTGGGGGAAATGCATGAAGGGACCTGGGACCTCTCTGGGGAAGGAGGAGGGGGAGGGAGGAGGGGAGGGAGGACTTTAAAAAAAAGAAAATGCTTCATTGTTCTAACCTTCCATTGGTAATTCCGTTTCCATTTCTTCATTGCTTGTGGAAGAACAGTCGCCTTCTGAAAGGAAAAAGAAAACTATGACCAAGGGAGAGATGCGAATTTAAAAAGAAGCCATTGCCCAGGTGGGGAGGTGCAAGCTGGTGATCCCCAGAGGCTGGGGGCGGGGCTGAGGCAGGAGGATCACAAGTTCAAGGCCAGCCTCAGCAACTTAGTGAGACTTGTCTCCAAATTAAAAAAATAAAAAGAGCTGGGGATGTGACTCAGTGGTAAAGTGTCCTGGGGTTCAATCCAAAAAACAAAAAAAAAAAAAGAGAGAGGATCAAGTGGTGAAGTGGGAAGTATTTTGGATCACAGAGAATATTTCACAATGAACTCAAGCGAAATGCCCTGAGGCACCTCCACGCTGTACACTTAGGGGAAATCAGGACCATCTTTGAAGTCAGGCTATTCACCCGCGTGGCCGCACACTGGGTCCTAGGTCAGCCTCCACTCCTCTGCCTGCCGTTCAGAGGTGGTGATTACAATTCACCACCTCACACAGCGGTCAGTACCTGGCACGTGGTGCTGGCAGTAGCAGGGGTCCTCCAACTCCTTCTTGACAGATACAGCTTCTGCCTTCAGGGAAATCCCTGTGAGTGCAAGGAGACCTAAGGTTAGGTGGGGGTCAAGGCCACCGGGTAACTCCACACTGTGGGGGACTCGCTGGAGGGCACTTGTCTATGCACACGGCATCATTTGTTGGGCCTTCATTTTTGAAGGCTCCTAGTGCTGAGTAACTTTGTGTTTTTCTCTTGTTAATCTGTCTTCTGTTACTGAAGCTTCAGCCATGAACCTAGTGATGGGAAGGTGTTTCTTCCCTTGCTGGCATTTTAGCCCAAATGGTTTTCATTTCAAACATGCACAGTATTTGTAATAAACTTCTTAAATATATTTTTTAGATGTTGATGGACCTCTATTTTACTCATTTATTTACATGTGGTGCTGAGGATCGAACCCAGGGCCTCACACGTGCTAGGCAAGTGCTCTGCCACTGAGCCCCCTGTAGTAAACTTTTTAAAGTTCCAAGTTATCAGACACTTTTATTAGACAATTCTAATAAAAGCAATCGATAAACCTGTGAGTTCTAGCTCTGCTGCCAAGAAAAATTCCTTTCTAATTGACCCAGGGCCCTGAAACCCGCCTGACAGTGAGTGTCTGAGATGCTAATAGAAACAAGCTCATTCAGCCAGAGAGGAAGGGAAGGGAGGAGGGCAGGAGGGAGGGGAATGCAAAACTGTAGCCTTGGCACAAATATCCCAGGGGGAAAGACTGAGGCCTGCTCTCGGATCCACTCTCGCTGCACCGTGGAACCCTCAGAGGAAAGTCACATGATACTGACAGGGAACGGAATTTGCTCAGTCGAACCACATCTCCAAGGATAGGCCTCGACCCAGGAGGCCCACGTCCAGGCAGGTGGGGAGGAGGAGGCAGCAGAGGTGGGGCCAGGGTCCCTCAGGGCCTGGGGAGACGCCGACTGTGGGGAGCAGGGTCTGAGACTGGGGTCTCGGATGACCTTGTGCCTGTGGCATGCTTGGTGCCCGGGAAAGTCTCCGTGCAAGGGTGCAGGGTGCTGAGCTGCTGTGGCCATGGCCTGCAGGAGGAGGGTCTGAGCTGGAGTCTCATCAGCCCAACCTTGATCTCAGGCGCAGCTCCTGGGAACAGAGGGACTTCCTGCTCGTCAACCACAGTGCTTCACCAGCTCCCTGCCCCTGAACCTGCCCGCGTGGCAGTAACTCCAACAGTGGGCTTCCTTGAGAGGCGCACAAGCTCCGGACATTGCACACTGCGACTATCCACGCAGATGGGACAAGCCGCCCACTATGGCTAGCTCTGTAGCTTTCGTGACGCTTGACAGTCAGACTGCGTCACCCTGAGGCCAGCTTCTCCAGCAGCACAGCGCTCAGCTCCGCCTGAGCCCAGCTGTCATCTGTGCCTGAGAGTCTCTACTTTCTCGTCCCCCTTCTCCCCTCGCCAGAATCTGCTAGTGGCCACGTTGTTCGCCGCAGCCAACAGGCCCCACTCCCACTGCGGGTCCTCCTGGATCTCAGAAGAGCCTGTCCCGCTCTGAGGTTGGGACTGGCCGAGTGCTGCCCAGCCGCTGTGCTCGCCTGTGTCCCTCCATGTCCCTCTGCTGACTTCACCCAGAGCCCCTGCAGCGCTTGGGTCTCCAATGTCCTCCAAAGCCCAGTGTCACAGGCTTGGCCTGAGAGGAGCCACTGGAGATGGAGGCCCTGGAGCCACCTGGGAGGCCTTCGGATGCCTGTGGTGCCCCAGGAGGCCGTGGGCCAGGCTCTGTCCTCCTCCAGTTCCCTGCTTCCTGGCCACAGGACAAGCCACGTCTCCCCACCACACTCCACGCTAGGCCACCTCGCCACAGGCCCAAGAAACATGGCCAATGGATCATGAACCCAAATCCTCAGAACTGTGCACCCCATAAGTCTCTTCTCAGGAACTGATGATCTCAAGCCTTTGTCATGACAAAGGCTCTCACAGCCACCAGCGGGACCCACGCCTGTTTCCAGACCCAGGTGAAGAGGGAGCTCAGGCCAGGCTACATGTAGATGGGACACGAGGGTCCCCTCATGGAGAAAGGACGCTTGGTGATGACAGACGGGGAGCCTGGCCAGGGATGCTGGCCACTGTGTCCTTCTCAGGGACACACCTGTCCCCTGGGGGAGGCTGGAGTGCTGACTTCCCATTTAGAACCACTGAGGCCTCCATTCTCCTGTTTTCTCCTCCCCCCCTCCTTTATTTATTTATTTATTTATTTTTGGGGTACCAGGGTTTGAACCCAGGGCACTGGACCACTGAGCCACACCCCAGGCCTTTTTACATTTTATTTAGAGACAGGATCTCACTGAATTGCTTGGGATTTCACTAAATTGCCGAGGCTGGCTTTGAACTCATGATCCTCCTGCCTCGGCCTCCCGAGCCCCTGGGACAACAGGCGTGCTCACCAGGCCTGGCCCTTTTTTGAGATTTTGGTCTAAGTTTTCTGACTCCCATGTTTAAGGCTTCCGTGCTTTCCCACCCTTGGACTGAACACTGGGTTCTTAACAAGTCTCCCTTCTGTCTTTAACACGTTCCTGTAACTCGTGCTGACTTTCTTTTCCTGAGGAGCTGGGGGCATCTCCTCGTCCATCAGAGGGGCTTTGCCACTGTACACATGGGCACTAGAACGTTCCGTGCTCCTGCGTCACAGAACACTTGGAGATGCCAGGGCTGCGAGGCAGACAAGATGCTTCCAGAAATGGAGGCTGCTCCCAGTCAGTCAGGATGGGGTTCCCAGCGCCCGCTCAGGGCTCCACTCACTCCCCACTCAGGCTTCATCTAAGTAGAGACAAAATAAGACTCTGTCCCCAGACACACCTGCTCAAGGACACCTGAGTGGCCGGCGCCTACTGACCTCGAAGGCGCTCTTCCAGATATTTGGGTCAAACGTGATCACAGGTTAAACATCCAATTCTGAAAGGCTCCAGAATCCAGAGGATTATGAGTGCTGACATGACCTCCCTGGTGGCAAATTCCACACGCAACCCCATGTGATGGCAACACGCGAAACACAGGTGTGCCGAAGACACCACGTAAAACCACCTCGGCTACGTGCAAAGATGTTCCTAAAATGGAAGCGCCTTTCCTGTTTCACCTCCGGTCCTGTCCGTCTGTCTCTCAGCACGCGCATGCGCACACAGACACACACACAGACACATAGATAAACACAGACACAGACACACACACACAGACACACACACAAACACACAGAAACACACACACACAAACACACAGAAACAGAAACAGACACACACAAACACACAGACACAAACACAAACACACAGACACAAACCCACATACATACAGACAGACACACAGACACAAACACACACAGACACACAAACACACATAGACACACACAAACACACAGACACAAACACACAGACGCACAGAGACCCACAAACACAGACACACAGACACACACACACACACACACATATTCTAAAATCCCACAAAATCTAAAATCAGAAACATCTGTGGTCCCAGCATGTTCAGTAAGGGACACTCCACCTGGATCCTTCAAACAGGGCCTCGGTCGAGGCTGATGAGTGTCCAGCCCCCTCCTCTTTTTAAAGTAAAACCAAAGAGAGTCCAGTGGTCACACCTAATTCTGAAGACCTACCAGAATCGTCCATGGGTTCAGTTTTCACACTGATGGCGCCACAGCTGAAAGGAGAAGGGGTCTGGTCAAGACAGGCCACATGAGGACTGGCCACAGGCTCCTGGGCCCTCAGAGCCCCAGCGCCCTGGATCCCCAGCCCCCGGGTACGACCGACCCTGAATGCGCAACCGCCTTAACACGAATGTGCTGGTGACCCGCTGCAGAGTCAGAGGTGCCCGTTACCTAGCCTGGATGAAACCACTCAGAATAGAACTAGCAACACAGCCCTTCGTATTGGACTGGAAATGTTATGACTTCTAAAAAGTTACCACTTTGTGGCTGGATATGGGTGCCATTTGTCCCTTACCTTTCCTTTGGTGACAGTACTGTTCTCTCGGAGTCTGCTACCGTCCCATGGGCACCTGTGCAAGAATAAAAAGGTCCCCTGTCCCTCTCAGCCCTGGAACTGTGACCAGCGTTCAGAGCTCTGTCACCTGGGCTGGGTGGGGCTCTGTGGTGGGCACTTGCCTCGCATGTGTAGGGCACTGGGTTCGATCCTCAGCACCACATAAAGTAAAATAAAGGCATGTGTCCACGATAACTGAAAAATAAATATTAAAAAAAGACACGGGGCTGGGGCTGGGGCTGAGTGTAGAGCACTTGCCTAATAAGTGTGAGGCCCTGGGTTCGAGCCTCAGCACCACATAAAGAAAATAAAACAAAGGTCTGTGTATATCTACAACTAAAAAATTTTTTTAAAAGATATTGTGTCCTAATAATATTAAAAAAAACAAACAAAAACAGTCCTATCAAAGCAAATGCAAGAGAACAGAACACTCCTGGCTCAAGTCATCGTGGGAGGGTGGCGGGGGAAGAGGCCCCCTCAGGTCAGACCCTGTGTCCAGGGTCATGGACTTGGGCAGAGGCTCTGGGGCGAGAGGGACAGAAGGGCTGGCCTCGGCACCCAGTGGCAGAGGGTGCCTCGGACAAGGCCCTGAACTTCCCCTTTGCCTCCTGGGGAAAATGGTGGTTGTGGAGGCTGATCACATTCAGGCTCGAGGCCACAGGCTCCAGACCCACCGCTGTGGAGTCGGCACCAGACAGGCCCAGACTTGGGTCGTCACAGCAGAGCCACCACCTGCACCACCCAGGGTGGCCGTGAGCACCAGGGGGTTCTCTGCAGACACTTCCTTGGGGAAGAGGTGAGCTTCTGCAGGGCTGCTCTGGCAGAGGGTCCTGGCACCATCCCTCACTGACCCCAGGGCACCCTATGCATGTGAATGGACTTATAGTACCCAGCCATTAAGCTCTGGTATTGTCCTGCAATGAAGATCTGAGCTGCCTGGGAGGCTGGTCACTTGGTCACCTGCCACCCCTGGTCCAGCCCTGCTGTAGCACGAGCTAGCAGAACGCACGATGGCCCCGACATGCTGTCCATGGCTCAGGGGAGCCGAGCCAGTCTGGCTGTCTGTCCTGCCTTGGTGGAGGCCACGTGGCGCCCTTTTCAGTCCTGGTCCTCCGTGACAGCCCCAGGTCAAAGGCTCCGACTACACCCTGGAAGGACAGCGTGAGGAACCGGGAGGTGGCCAAATGCGGCCTGAAGCTGCTCGGGTGCAGGTGCCCCTCTTCAGCATGAGGCTGAGGAGCTGTGCGGAGCCTGATGCCAGTGGGTGCTGGGCACCCACACAGCTTTCCAGCTGGTCTGTGGGTGGCCTCCCTCGAGAACTGACCTGTGCAGCCTCTGCTTATCGCAGGGGCCAGGGCCAGGGCCAGGGCCAGCTCCTCTCCAGCCCCTCCTGGGCCCGGGCCCCCTGCAGCCATCCTGACAACAAAGAGGCCGTTCCTGGCTCAGCTAGTTGGTTGCACTCCTCTGGACCACAGCAGCACACCTAGGTCCCCTCTGGAAGCCAGCAGTGCCAGCGTCCCAATATGCGGGTGTCTGTGCCACACGCTTCTGTGGATGGGGAAAAGGTGGCCTTACCACCCTCTGGGGTGGCAAGCTAGGGGCCTGGGGGCAGGATCACAGCTCTCCTGGCTGCACATGTCCTTCCCTAAGCTCAAGTCCCTACAGACGGCGCCCTGACCCTGCTTGCCAAGGAGGAAGCACAAGATGTGCCCAGGTGCGAGTTTTAAGGAGAAGTAGGTGCTTGGCCGGTCGGTGCAGCCAAGCCGAGGCACAGTAGCTGTCACTTACCCAGCTGGCTCTCGGGACCTAGGAAAGGTCTGCAAGAAAACCAACACCGGTTACCCAACCGCAGCACACCAGCACGTTGCACCGCGGACGGTCCCCTCGTCAGGGCCACAGGACACTCAACAGCCAGTCAGCGAAGCCATCCAGGCAGCTCTAAGCGCACCGCGGGGAAGGCACGGGCGGGTCACCTGTGTATGATGAACGAGATCCCCGCTCTGTCCTCCAGGATGCGCTTGAGGGTGGCGAGGTCGTAATTCTCGGGGTGCTGAAAGGCGAGCCCCTCTGGGAGGCCCTGCACCTCCACAGCCGCCTGGTCGCGCAGCATCTGCTCGTACGGGACAGGCACCATCGCTGTGGTCCCCAGCGCCTTCCCTAGAGGGCAAGCCGTGGACAGCGTGAGGACGCTACCCGCGGCTGGACTTGGTGTAACCAGCGAGCCCAGCTGGTGGCGCTGGCTTTGACCACACATGGAAAGCAGAAAGCCCCTGTCCCTCTCCCTCCGAGTGCTTTACCCTCAGCCTTCACCTTCGGGAGGTGCCCAGCTGGGGTGGTATCGGACTCCGAAGGGGCGGTGAGCCCCCAGGCATGAAGCCCCATTCCTCAGAGAGATGTCACCTGAGACCCCTCATAGAGAGATGTCACCTGGAGGACCCCAAAGTCGAAAGTCCAGACCCCTGCAGGGGACGGACATGCTGAGGTCTTGGGAGGAGGAATGAGGCCCTGGGGTGCTGGTGGGGGGTCACGGAGGTGAGCTGCGGGGGCGCCTGCCAAGAGTTCTCCCTGTGTGCTGGGGGCTGAGCCCAGGGCCTCCCGCAGGCACTTCTGGGCTGTCCTAAAGTCCCTGGGGGGCACGGGAGGTGCAGAGACAGCTGAGGGAAGAGGGGCCCTGGACCCAGTATTGCTGGGGACTCTGCGAGGGGACCAAGGCAGGAAGCCTGGTCAGCACAGAGGGTCTGGATCGAGACAGATGCTGCCAAAGGACACTCAGCCTGGACCTGATTAGAAGGTAGGCTTAAAATGCCCACAACGCCCTGGGAGCCATGCTGGTGGCTGTCACACCCTGTCCCTTAGTGACCAGAGGGCTCATGCTTGAGGCGGGCTTTACCGTAACAGAGGCAGAAGTGGTCCCCGACTGCTTTCCTGAGAGCCTCTGCTTCTCCTGAGGACGCCTGCGGCCCGCGGGCAGAGCGGGGGGGCTTCGCCTCACTTGGCTCCTCCACGAGGCCTGCCGCAGACCACGGGCAAGGTCAGCGCACGGGGCCACCAGCTCCCTGCTGTGGGCCCCACTGCACCCACCCCACAGTCCCCACCGCACCCCCCACTGCGCCCACCTACAGTCCCCACTGCGCCCACCTACAGTCCCCCCTGCGGGTGTTCAAAGAAAGCTGGAAAGGAACAAACAAAACCAGGAAAGAAAGAAAGAAAAGAGGGAGCCGGGTGCAGAAACACACACCTGCAATCCCAGGGACTGGGAGGCTGAGGCAGGAGGATCCCAAATTCAAGACCGGCCTCAGCAACTCAGTGAGACCCTCCCTCAAAAAATAAAAAGAGCTGGGATGTGGCTTGGAGTTAAGAGCCCCTGGATTCAATCCCTGGTACCAAAAAAAAAAAAAAAAAAATACTAGGGTAGGACATTTATGAACAGGACACAGCGCACGCTGCAATGAACCTACTGATACAGAGACCTGTAAACAGTCCAACCTGGAAAGACAGACTAGAGTTTGAAGACATTTTTATCCCAGAAATTCGTTTATCATGCTGTGGAAAGTGGCGGTCACTGTGAGGCCACCCCTCTGAACATCTGGGCCTCCAGCCATGGCCGCTCCACAAGTTTACAGCTGGTTGTTTTAATCAAGATGAAGTCAGGGGGTGGAAACTGCGAAGTCATTTGGGAAGAGAAAGCTTAAAAGAATGATCAACTAGTGACAAGAAGTCAGTGCCAAGGGGTGACAAGAGTGAGGGACACTCATGGCAGTTGAGGGGGCAGCTGGGAGGCTGCCTGGGCAGCTCTGTATTGCAGGAATTCGCAGGGAGGCCTGCTCTGGAGTGCCTGGGGATCCTGAGACGTGCGGGGGGCTGGCTGGGGACCCGCAGAAGCTGCAGGAAGGCCCTGGGAGGGGAATGCCACTGTGCATCCCAGTGTCATTGTGTGCCTTGTAATCCCAGCTGCTGGAGAGGCTGAGTCAGGAGGAGCACAAGTTTGAGGCCAGTCTCAGCAACCTAGTGAGACCCTGTCTCAAAGAATAAGAAGGGCTGGGAGGTGTGGCTCAGCGATTAAGCACTCCTGGGTTCAATCCCTGGTACCAAACCAAACCAAACCAAAAGGAAGTTATTCCAGTGCAAGAAGTATCAAAATTCTCAGTATTTGGGACACCTATTATACCCCTACCTCTACGTGGTGGAATACAGAACAACTGGAGGACCCCGCCCCTGTAATGAAGCTCCTTTCTTGGGACAGATATGAAAGAAGGGATTATGTGCCCAAAGTTCTGGTCTGTCTGGGGTCTGCCTGAGGCACTGGTTTCCATCCCACTTGATTTATACTGATGAGGTTTGCACCAGAGTTTGAAGCCACTGAAAACAGAACATGCAGAATGTTAAAGCAACAGTTCCACCGTCTGGTGACAGGGAGAGCAAGGTCAAATAAGGCTTGAGAGGTCCTGGAACCTCCAGCCAGGCTAACTGGTGAGGCCTTCCCTACACAAAGTCCACATGCAAAGACTGAAACAAGTTGATATTTTTTAAAATGTCTAAACGCCAGAACAACAAGAAATAATTGATAAACTATACAAAGAAACAAGGAAACATGGCCCAAAATAATGACATAAAATTTCAGAATTAGATCCAAAAGAAATGCAGATCTATGAGCTGCCTGACAAAGAAATGAGAATAATTATCATAATGATGCTTGATGAGCTAAGAGTACAGATAAACAATTAAACAGAAACAGGTAAATAATGCATGAAAAAAATAGAACACCAAGAAAGAGAATTTATAAAAAGAATCAAACACAAACTCTAGAGTTAAAAAATACAGTAACTGAACTGAATAATTCATCAGAAGTATTCAACAGCAGACTAGACCAGTCCAAAGAAACAAGGGGGAGCATGAAGGAGACAGGCTGTTGGAGATCATTGAGTCAACGGAGCAAAAGGAGGAGGGAAAGGAAAGGGAGATTAAGGGGGTTGAGAAATTCTATTAAGCAGACCAGCACATGCACAATGGGAATTCCAAAAGAAGAAAAGGACAGAGTTTATTTGAAGAAATAATGGCCCCAAGCTTCCCAAATCTGAGGAGGAAAATCAGACATTTTTTTTTTTTCAAATTCAAGAAGCTCTATGAACTCCAGTGGGGATGAACCCAAGAGCCCCGCCCTGGTGGGCACTGAGAGCAGAGCCCTGCCCCGTGCACTGGAGAGTCCCGCCTGAACTCAAAGGCAAAGGAGAGCGTGGAGGAAGGAGAAGAAGGTGGTTTAGCACACACAGGAGATTCCATAAGACCAGCAGCAGCTTCTCAACAGGAATTCTGCAGGCCAACAAGAACAGGCTGATGTTTTCAAAGTGCTAAAAGCAGAATAAAAAAATAAACTGCCAACCAAAAACCTAGTATTTGGAAAAACTACCCTTCAAAAGTTAGGGTTCTACCTAGTGTATGATTCTGTTGTATGAGATGTCAAAATAGCAGAAATCACAGGAATAGGGAGCGGGCTGGGAGCCGGCAGGCCTGGGGGCGCTGGGAAGAAGGGTAGTTTACTGGGTATGAGGTTCAGACTTGCAAGATTCAGAGATCTGTTTCACAACAATGGAAACATGCGTGATCCTGAGTAGCTGGATTGTAGGTAGGCGCCACCAGACCCAGTTACAGATTTCAACCCTCCTTGGTCAGGAACAGAATAAGTAGGCAAAAACCAGAAAGGGAACAGAACACTATTCAACAACTGACCTATTTGGCCCATTAACTGCACAAGCCAATGTTCTTTAAAGTGCACATGAAATGTCTGCCAATACAAATGATATGCTGAGCCAGACCTCAGGTTTTGATAAATTCAAAAGAACTGAAATCACCTGAAGCACCTTTTTAGACTATAGTGGAATTTAATTAGAAATCAATACTGAAGAAAGGCCCCACGTAGTCAGAAATGAAGCAAAATGCTTCTAGGTAACCACAGGTCAAAAAGGAAGACTCCTCTTGCCCACGGCCTGTGCGGGCTATGGATTTTGGGTTCCCCTTGTGTGAAGTGTACCAGTTGAGAAACACGGCGAAAATCACAGACCCAGAAAGTAATTCTCAAAAAGTAGGGGCAGGACGGCTCTAGGACCTAGTGTCCTGCTTCAAACTAGAAGGAGAGAGAGAAGAGCCTGCTTTGCTTTATTTATACAAGGGGGCTTCAAGGGATTTTCATGGAATATTCTTTTGCCAAATAAGATAGAAAGAGGGCCGTCCACGCCCAGCGGGTAACACCGGGGTCCAGAGCTAAGAGCAGCCTCTCTAGAGGAGGGAAGACTGAGGTTATCATGTGCTTTGCATGATCCATTAAGTGAGAGAAGCCACAAAATGACCTGCAATGCCTGACCAAGCTCTCCCAGGCCCCGAGGCCGAGTAGAGGTTTCCAGTAGCTCAGGGGTGCCCCCACCCCTAGACTGTGAAGGTCAGAAAATATTTTTAGCTACCTGATCACGAAAACCTATCCCAAGTGGAAGGCAGCTAAAACATTACCTCGAGGGAAAATCCTAACTTCAAACGCATGAAATGGGAAAAAGTCAGTGACCTAAGCTACCAAACCAAGAAAAGAAAAGCAATTGAACCCAATAAAAAATACAGTATGTCAGTAACAAAGAGGAGAACAGACGTAACAAGGAATAGAGAGAAATAAACAAGCCAAACGTTGGCTATTGGAGAGCCAGGTGGATAGATCTTTTGCAAGATGTATTTAGGAAAAAAAGGGAAACAAATTATTAATATCGAAATAAAAGTGGAAATATTGATATGTATCTCCA